AGAGCTGGCATGAAGGTAGAGCTCTGTCCTGGCTGTCTGCGTGGCTGCAGAGACCCCAAATATGCATCCCAAGATGTCTGGATGATTTTTGCACCTCCTTGAGGTATTTATTTCCTAAGGTAGTACTAAAGAACCATTATCTGTAGCCTTCTGAGCTCTATCAGGTGCAGACAGCTGGAGTTCAAAGCTCAATGAAGAATTTCCCACCAAAATCCTCTTCTTCATTTGGCTTTCACCTGCCCATGGGATGGTATTGGAACTGGGTGATCTTTAAGGTCCCTTCCAACCCAAACCATTCTGGAATTCTGTGATGATTTTATGATTCTTCCTCCTCCTCAGGGTTACAGGGTACTCCAGCTAGGGTTTAATTAATTTGAGCAGCATTTCCTGACATACACTTACGCCAAAGGAGATCATGTTGCTGTTCAAGCAACTCCCCATGAGCTGAGCTGGCTGCTTTGCCCCAGATGAGTTCAGGGGTAAAGAAACCACATCAAAAAACAGTTTTATAAGGTCTGAAAGTGCCATTCTCCACCATCCACCCTATCCTTGGTGCTTTCTCTCTCCTCCCTCTCTGTGAGACTGGAAGGGAATTCAGTTCATCTTATTCATTGGGTAGAAATAATGACGGATTTTTGTTTCTTTTTTTTTGGTTGTTGGGCTGTGGTTTGGGGTTTTTTTAAGGTTATTTCCATCCAAATTAGCAAACAAGGGAACACGCAGCAGTGGGACAGTGGGACCATGCCTGTGAGCATGCCCATTAGTGTCAGAGGGACAATATTCCTTATAAACTGAGCTTTTCCACCTTTCCTGGTGGACTGGCCACTAGGTCTGAAGCATATCAGGGTCAGAAGGCCCAGTGATTATGAGGGAAAAGTGCAAGGTGAGCTGTAAGAGCCCACTCTTCACTTTCCTGGGAAACCAGGCTGTAACCACGATGGCTGAGCAGTCCCAGATGAGGGGCAGGAACAATGAACCCTGTGGATGAATGTGAGAAATAAACTGTTTGATTTGGAGAGGTGCCTTGACTCAAAGCCCTCCCCGTGCTGTCCTCGTACATCAGCATGCGTCAGAGGGATGGGCTGGAAATGGGCAGGAATTTGGCTCTGGATTCAGCCCTCTCCCCATTTTCACAATCAGTTCCCAAACCAACAGCCAGCTCTGGGTTATCTGGCTGTCCTGAGGGTTCATCCAGCTGCAGGGGATCTCCAGGGGAGCACTGGCATCACTGGAGTCCCAGTGATGACTCGAGGAGAGTAACTGGGCTGCTCATCAGTGAATGGAGACTCTTGGATGAATGACTTGTCATCCCTCTGGCAGTGGGGCCTGACCTGGTGAGGTCAGTGGGAATTTTCCTGTTTGATTCATCAGAACAAGAATTTAATCTCCCAGAGAGGACTTTTCCCTGGCTCAGTCTGACCAGTGCCCCAGCTGGTTGGCATAGCTCTCTCATTACATCATTGTTTCCTTGCTTTCACAGAAATCATTGACCCAGAGAGAAATATTTTACCTGGAAAGGGAGACCAGGAGCTGACAAAGGCAGAGAAGTGTCAAAATTTTGTGTTGAAAAGACACAGAAGGGCTGAGAGGGGATTTGGACAGAAAATTAATTTAGGCTGAGGGTGCTCGTAGGAAGAAAGCTGTGAGGGACAAAGAGACTGATTCCCTTGGGGCTGGGTGACCAAAAGGGAAAGGAGTTGCACCAGAAATGCAGTCCATGGGTAGAGAGGGCAGCCTGTCAGGACAATGGGACACAGCTTTCAGATCCCCTCCCCATCATGTTTAAAACACGTAAATCTGGGATCTTAGGGAAAAAAATTGTTCCTTCTGAGGGTGGTGAGGCCCTGGCACAGGTTGCCCAGGGAAGCTGTGACTGCCCCATCCCTGGAAGATCCAAGGCCAGGATGGGGCTTGGAGCAAGTTGGGATAGTGGAAGGTGTCCCTGCCCATGGCAATGAGATGATCTTTAATGTCCCTTCCAACCCAAACCACTCTGAGATTCCATGACTGCTTTGAGACCCTGGCACAGCCTGGAAAGGAGACGTGGATGTGGGTGGATCTTGCCTGAGAAGCACAGGCCGCACTCACCTTCATGTCAAACCAGGTGTCTTTTGAATCAAAAGTGATGCCAAAATTATTTTCCCCATTGCAGCTGTTTTCTCTGGGAAGGGAAATAAAGGCACAGAGTCCCCGTGGTGTTCTGGGGAGGTGAGGAATGCTGGGGTAACTCCTGCTCAGTGCCATCCCACCACTGGCAGCATTGCTGACTCACAGGTGGATTTAACCTCAGGTTTATTGGTTTCGGGTAAGCAGAAAAGCAATTTTTCACCTGGTCATGTCAGATAATCAGAGTCCCAAAAGGGCCACAGACATGGGTGGCCCCAGTTTCTTCTTGTCACAGTGCTTCCTAAAAAAGTTACAGCAAAACCAAATTATTCAGGATTCATGAGTGAACACACAGCCATATTCTCCCAGGGGAGCAATGCCACAGAAACCACAAAATCTCCTTCCCAACAGCCGCTCATGCCTTGCCAGTGGAGCCTGCAGCTCTCCATGTGCTGCAGTGGCTCCTCTGGAAGCCTTCAGCTCTCTGTGGTGGCGGGTGACAGATTTTTGCAGCAGAGAATGACGGGTTCAAAGCAGTACTGAGCCGGGTATTCACCAGAAACACAGCTTCCCACTCGGCACAAGCCCCCTCCGTGGCTGCAGCTGTCTGGTCCTTGAGCCTCTCCTGGACAAGGGAGCAGCAAATTCATGGATAAAATTAGTGGGGTTCCTTCTGGCACCATGGTCCCAGCCAGCCAAGCCAGCACTGGGAGCACACAGAGATCCTGGGCACCTCGAGCACACCCAGAATCCCCATCCCACAGACAGGTTCAGATATCCATGTTGGAAATCCCAAGCTGCTGAGCCAACCTTCCTCAAGGAATGTTTTATCATGGAGTTGTTTTTTCAGGATGTTGGCAAAGACTGTGCATGGGAGGTCAGAGGGGTTGTCCTCTCCCTGCCAAGGAGGCAACTGCAGCCTGAGAAAAGGCAGGAACATTTTCCCAGAGCACAGGGTTTCTTCTTTAGGGCTTCTCCCAACTCAGTGATGTGCTCCATTTCCACAGCTTCCTCCCCGATCATTTTTTGTATTCCCCCAAGAGATTAAATAATGAAATTTCCCAAAGTGCCTCACCCACTCTCTCACCCAGAAAACCTCTTTCCTCAGTACCTATCACACAGTGAAGAAAGATTATCCCTGTTCCCAGATATCCTATTCACCACCCAGGCCTTCCTGGTCTTACCGTGCTGGGTCAGGGAGATGAATATGAGAACAAACACGAGGATCCCCATTCCTTTGGCTCTGCTGGAAAATCGCAGGGCTGGGAGTGAGATTTCACAGAAGCCTCTGTATGCTGCTGGCATGCTGGATGGCATCCGGAAGAGGGGAGGAGTAGGCAGGAGTTAATTATGTTCCAGTCCCCAGAGTAACATTTGCTGCTGAGAAATCCTTTCGTGTCGTTCTGACCCTGCGCTGCTGCTCCAAACAATGTTGACTTTTTTCCACGTTCACTGGTTACTGGCTTTCCTGACTCCTCTCCTTGGCAGCTGGCATTTTGGGCTGGTAGAATTCCAGCTGGAAAAAAAGAAGCTCAGGGAGATCCTCTGCCCTTCACCTGCAGCCAGCAAAATCCCTTGGAAGTGACAGGGAGGAGGGAAGCAACCTGCAAGGGAAGAGTTCTGAGGATCTGCAAGGAGGAGAAGGATGCAGGCTGGGAGTGATTAATTTTTAATCTGAGCTCATGTGAATATTTCCTCCAGCTGAAACCTGGGTGTTATTTTTTTCCCCAGCTTTGGCTTCCGAGGAATTTGGGAGGCTTCATTCCTGAGTGTGATGAGCACACAGTGCTGGTAGAAGAGCTCTTAGTTCAGCAGTGCACCCCGTGGTGGTAAATCTGTGGTGAGTGTGCAGCTCTGGCTGTAAAATCTGATATTCCAGCTGCCCTGCCTGGTGCTGCTGTTTGCTGTCCCTTCAGCTGTGGTAATAAAACTGCTCTGTGAACACATCTTAAACTGGCAGGCTAAGGAGTAAAATTAAAAGCACCTTTCTCCCTAAAAAAATACCCAAACAGAACAACATAACTAAAATCATAGTCATTTAGGTTGGAAAAGGCCTCCAAGTTCATTGAGTCCAACCATTTCCCAGCTGTCCCAAGCCACCACTAAATCATGTTCCTAAATGCCACATCTGTCTCTCTTTTAAATCCCTCAGAGATGGGGACTCCATCACTGCCCTGGGCACCCTGTTTTAATGCCTGACCATCCTTTCCATGAAGAAATTCCTCCTGATGTCCAACCTGACCATCCCCTGGCACAGCTTGAGGCTGTTCCTTCCCATCCTGTCCCTGTCCCCTGGGGGCAGAGTCTGACCCCCCTGGCTGTCCCTTCCTGTCAGGGAGTTGTGCAGAGCCAAAGGTCCCCCCTGAGCCTCCTTTTCTCAGGCTGAGCCCCTTTCCAGCTCCCTCAGCTGCTCCCTGAAGCATCCAAGGAATGACTGGACGTGTCACTCAGTGCTCTGGGCTGGGTGACAAGGTGGAGATCGGTCACAGGCTGGGCTCGATGACCTTGGAGATCTTTTCCGACCTTAATGATTCTGTGATTAGGTGTCCTCAGTCTTCTAAAGCATTCAAGTGTAAAATCAAACATGGTAAATAAGATTAGGCTGGTAAGAAGGATTAGGGGATGGGGTTTCCAAGGATGCAACAGCAAATTTTTGTGTAATTCTGCACGTGGGCCTAATAGAGAGACATTCTGCCTCTTTCCATAAATAAATGACTGTTACACCTGATTATTTAGCATTTATTGCCTTCTTTATATAAAGACATGTCACCTCTAGTTAATTACACACTTTGCATGTTGAAAACAGCAGACACATCTACAACACTTGGAATAAAACTTGTTTGCTTTCTTGGCTGTTCATTCCCATGGTTTTCTGCAGTCCCACGAGGTCCTTGTCACACTTCTGTGCAGCACTTCCATCCTCTGCGAGGACAGAGCCCCTCTTGCTCTTGCAGACATCTGATTTCTGGGGGCACACAATGGCCTCCCTCATCTTGGCAGATGTGGAAGTTGGATGTTGTGTCTGAAATTCAGAGGGTAAAGTCAAACCAGGAAACCTGACACTGCCATCCAAACCATCTCATACACAAAGATTGTTGGGAAGTTGTGCTTACTGTGTCTCCAAAAGCAAAGACACAAAAATGAGCTTTGGGGTTTATCACAGCACTTCTGTAAAAGAAGGAATTTGTGACCCACCAGCTTGAAAAAGAATTAACTGAGGGAAAGATATTGTAGAGCTGTGAAAAAGATGGATGCAGAATGACTACATTTCAAGTAGGTGGCACTGAGTAAAGTTGTGAGGGATGACGTTTTAAAAGAAATGGAAGGAATTCCTAACCTGGGGGGAAAAATCCAGTAAGATCTTTTAAACACAAGAATGCCTAAATCTAAAAATCCTGAGCTGCAATTTCACGAAAGCCAGAATAATATATAAGAAATGTTATGATATGGTTGTGGTCACTTTACACACACAGAGTAACTGCAAAGAAATATCCACTTCTTGCCATGGACGGATCCAGGATGCCGGATCAGAGGAACTTTAGGATTAGCACAGTTGTTTCTAAAGTATATATTCATAAATGATTTATGCTGAGGGTTATCTATTGAGGAGCACCAAAACCAAGCAATTCTGTGAAGATTCAGGTAAAATAACAGGGAAAAGATCAGTTGGCACCTATTAAGCACAGCAGAGTGGGTGCAGCCAGCAGCGCCCCAACAGATAATTATAGGAAGATTTACCAAGGAAAGAGGACTCTCTGTGGGCCAAAACTTTCATTGTATTTCCCCAGTTGGAGGTAGAGCTTTGGGTTATTTTGGCCAGCTCCAAAGGCTCCACACTGATGTCAGTGGAGGAACACACAGGTCCATCTTTGTACATGGAAAGAGATGGCTTAGACCCCATGCCTGGAAATGTCCAAGGCCAGCTTGGATGGGGCTTGGAGCAACCTGGGATAGTGGAAGGTGTCCCTGCCCATGGCAGGGAGTGGAACTGGATGAGTTCACCATGGGATGATGGATTTAAGTTCCCTTCCAACCCAAACCATTCAGTGATTCTATGATTTGGTGGCAAAGTTTCTTTTGTTGAGTTCAGCCATTTCTCCCCCCGATTTTGCCCTCTTGGCAGGGTTCCCACACGTACCAACACAGCAGGTCCTCCGGCGCCGATAGCAAGTCCCAAAGGCAGCAAACGGCTCTGGGCAGGATTTCAGGTGGAAGCAGTATCCGTGGTATTCCAAACAACGCAAGGTGTCCCTGGGCAAGCCGAGACCTACGGGGGGAATGGGATTCCCAGCTGTGCTGCAGGATCAGTCCATTCTCATCTCCATTCCTCCTGCTGAAACCCCACAGACCCCAGTTAGGGATCTGGCATAAATACCCCCAAAACCCAGAAGTTTTGAGGAACTCCTGGGACCTCAGAGCATTTCAAGGAAGGTTTTTTGTACAACTGGAGTGAAATATAGAGGTTGATGGCAATTTTCTGAACATATCCTGGCCATTCATGCTATAATGGGAAGGAACAGCCCAGTCTTGGATGCTTCTGAGTTCTGGGACTGCAGCGTTGCAGGGACATGCAAGGGACAACATGATCACCACATGCCTTGAAGATAAAATTATGGCTTTAAAAAACCCTCAAAAGAAGGATCTGGCTCAGTTAACAGGAACAAGCAGTTAGCCCAGTCCCTTCTTTCTCTGGAAGCCTTTCTTCAAGGTGAGGAGGTTCATTAAGCATGAAGAACGTGTAGGATAAAAACACAATCAGAAGATGAGTCAGTGCAGCAGAAGGGCTGAGGAAGGGGAACCAGGATATTCAGACAGCTGAAGTCAGTGGTGAAGTTCAACCTGAACAATACCAGGGAACACCTCTGCTCGCTTCTACAGTACACAGAGGGGACAATTTTTAACCCTGGGGTTAGAAGAGGAGGTGATTTCCTGGATTGTCACCATCTAATAGTGCCACAAAAGACATTTCAAAGAGTCATAGGACCCAACACCTGGCAGAAGCTTGTGTGGGGAGGTTCTGGTGTGGCACCTGCTCACCATTCTTCTTCTAGACTGAGATAATAGGGAACTGCTCTAAGAAAAGGAGCTGAGGAGAACATTCTGCACCACCACACGAGCGAGCTGTACCTCCTGCACAGGCAAACCCCAGCATGGGGCTTGGCCCTTACCTGGAACAGCCTGGAGGAGGAAAAGCAGGAGAGCCATGAGGCAGGAGAAGAGCTTCATGGTGGAAGGTCTCAGCTGCAGTGTGGAGACAGCAAAACAATGCCAGAGCCTTTGAGGAGGGGAGGAGGGAGCACTCTGGCATTTATAGGGCAGTGGGAACAGCTGTGGCTGTCTGGGGAGCCTTGGCAGGGGTGGCAGGGGAAGGCAGCGGGTACAGCCTGACCTCTGCACGTGGCTAAACCTGAACAATGGCTCAGGGGCACAAAACACAAGGGGACAAAGAGCTGTGCCTGCCTGCCTGGCCACTGGGAAGGCTGCTGGGAGGGCCCCTTATCAATATGGGTCCACCCAGAGCGCATCATTAACTTGAAACGTCAATGTGGTTGGTAATGGGTTATCTGGAGGAAATTAGCCATTGTTTCATGGGAGAGAAGGCAGATGGAATATCACAGAATCATCATGGAATCATAGAACAGTTTGGGTTGGAAAGGACTTTAGAGATCATCCAGTCCAACCCCCTGCCATGGGCAAGGACAGATTTCACTATCCCAAGTTATCCAAGCCCCATCCAACCTGGCCTTGGGCAGTTCCAGGGATCCAGGGGCAGCCACAGCTTCTCTGGACAACAGAAAATATCTGATCCTGCTGCTTGTCCTGTGATGCAACATCTGTTCCCAAGATAAAGAAATAAATTATTATGATCATTCCATACACAAACATATAAAATAGTTGTAATTTTTTCTGTAAAAGGTGCTGTGAAGAACAAAAAAAAAAAAACAAAAAAAAAAAAAAAAAAAAAAAAAAAAAAAAAAACCAAACAAACAAACAAAAAAAATGTTTAGTGGAAGCTCTTCCTGTCCATGTCAGGGGTTTGGAATGAGATGATTTTTCAGATCCCTTTCATCCCAAACCCTTCTGCCACTCCATGTTTCTATGATACATGAAGTGCAGATTATCAGTTTTCAGGTGTCACCAGCAGCACCTTCAACTTGGGAGGTGCACAAAGAGTGCATGACAAGTGAGATTGAGAAAAACAGGGCCAGGAGACAAGCTCCTTTCAAAAGGCCTTTATTAAGAACAGCTCTTGGGTGGGGAACCCGAGGGGTCGCGCACACCGCCACTGCTCCCACAGGGCAACGCTGAGGAGGAGGAGTGCAGCTTTGTCACTCGGCAGAGCTGGGGCTTCCATTCTCACAAGAGTCCTCAGGAAGACAATGTTGGCTCGTAGTCTAGGGGTGTCATCCCGACTGAGTATTCTTTAAGTCATGGTGACAGGACGGAATCTGGCTCTGTAAATGGTGCGTGATTCCGGGTAGTGCAGCCAGTTTAAAACTATAGTTTATGTGCTGGCTTGCTGTTTTTTAAGAGAGTTCATACAATACCAACAGCTCCTCATTAAAATTCAGTCCGGGTGCAAGTCCCTCTGGGAGCAGGGGAAGTGGTTCCTGACCTGACGGAAAAGGATACAAGTACCGGGGTGCAAGTCCTTCTGGGAGCAGAAAAAGTGGTTCCCGGCAGAAAGGGATACAAGCACAGGGCTACAAATACAGGGTAAGACAGTAACACTTAACAATGGCAAACAAAGTACATTCAACAACGGACTAACACTCCCAGTTAAGATCCTATTAACTTTGTCAACTTTATTAACATTAACTACCAATTGCCACCCTGGAAAAAGAACTCCCATCCCCAATGTTTCACTTCTTACAAGATTAATGAGTTTTCCTCAGTATTTGTCTGCACAGAGTTTGAATGATATCAACAGACAAGTGGAAGTGGCAGCTGACAGCCCAGGTTCTCCCTCCAACATTTACTTCAGCCTCTTTCTGCACAAGGTATTTATTGATGTTGTTCTGACCCAGCAGCCTCGATATCAATACAAACTCCCCCTCAGCCATGTGCATTGTTCTCTGTCTGCCTCCCTGCTTTCTTTGTTTGCTTTCCTTTGCAAATTTGCAGGTGCCATCCAGTCCTGAAGGAGAAGTGTTTGTGTCCATTTCCAGGTACTCCAGGGACAGGAATGAGACAAAGGCTGCAACACGAACCCCTCAGCTGGCTCAGGTTCCCACTGCATCCAAGGGGATCCTAGCTGAGATATTCATCTCAGCTCTCAAGATCTGTCATTGTACTTTGTCAGACTGGAGCAGACACTCACCTTTCTCAACAATTATTTTTTAAATCACAAAAAAAAAAAAAGAAAAAAAAAAAAAAAAGGTCTTGTTCTGTAGTGATGGCCTGGAAATGTTTGGCTTTTAAAATTTTATTTCCATGGGAGGTGAAGTACAAATTTCAAACCTGAAGTGTGTTAACAATAGTGTAAGAGGAGTGACTGCCCAGTAATCTCACATTCAGAATCCCTCTCCATCATTTCCAGAATGTCCTCACTATCAGACCACAAAGTGCTCATACAATCACAGTCCCCTTCAAATTAGGATCAGAAATTATCACAGAAAAAACCCCAACTCTTTGAAATTCAAGCACCATCTCAGTCTGCCTTGATGCTTCTGCACTTTGTTTGCTTGTTTTTGCTCTCATCCTTTCCCAGGTTACTTTCCCAGGTTATTCCAGGTCAGAGATGTGTTTTATATGGATCACAAAAGAAATGCTCACACACAGTGGAAATTCTGCCCCTTGCCTAAGGATCTCTTGTGAGAAGCTGCCAAGGGAGCTGGGAAAGGGGCTCAGCCTGGAGAAAAGGAGGCTCAGGGGGGACCTTGTGGCTCTGCACAACTCCTGACAGGAGGGGACAGCCAAGGGTGGGTCGGGATCTTCTCCCAAGAAACAAGGGACAGAGCAATAGGAATCACCTCAAATTGCACCAGGGGATGTTTAGATTGGGAATTAGGAACAATTCCTTCACAGAAAGCCCTGTCCAGCCCTGGCACACCTGCCCAGGGCAATGGTGAAGTCCCCACCCCTGGAGGTTTTGCTGATCTGGCCTGGGACTCACATCCCTTTGAGTAAGGGAGTTTTTATGAAAAGGGAAGACTCCTCATTCATTTTGAAGTTTTCAGTCATGGCACAGCTCTGAAAACAATACCTGGGACTCTAAATTTATGGGAAACATCTGCTTTCCCTGAGCACTTAACCAGATTTGTGTTATGGCAATGTAAATCAGCAGGATTTGACTGCAGTTGGGCTGAAGTGGTCCTGAAACTGGCTGAAAACCTGACTTTATTTACAACATTGTGAGCAGCAAGTGATAGAGTGGGATGGATGAGGAGAGGTGCCACTGGGATTGGCAGCAGGGAAAAATATGGGGGGAAAATCTAATAGCAACCATTGGGGTTGAATAGGCAAAAACTTTGAGCCGTGGAGGAAAAAACACTGTATTTCCAGGAAGGAAACAAGCTGAATTTCCAGCCTGACCTTAGGATGGAGGATCCTTCACTGGATGAAATTAATCTCCAGCCTGATTTACAGCTCATGGAGCCCATGAGCTGGTTCCTGGCTCCCTCTTGTGGGAAAAGGTGCTGGAGGAGGAAGAGACCTCGTGGTGCAGGATTTGCTCAGGTGGAAAGGTAAAAGCAAGAGGAAATGCCTCTTTGCTCCATCCTCAGCACTGTTAATTCAGAGTAAATGAGTGGTGATTATTAATAGGTTTGGACAGCAGGGATGGGATTTGGTTTCAGACATCAAATTTTACAGAGGAATTGAATTTTTGGAGGGACTTTCTTACATTCAGGGTAAGTGTTAACTATGAAGTTAATGTTTCCTAACTTCATATAATTTTATAACATTTCTATAGCTTTATAACTTTTTTTAGTCTCTGTAACTATAGTAATACTGAGAACTCTGCACTTACCAGGATTAGGCTGAGCCAGGGTGGATTTTCCTGGTGCTTTGCCCATTGCACTGCTGGCCACAGCCCTCCCTGTATTGCCCCTCTCCAGACACCCTGTTTCCCAGCAGAGTGTCTCCAGCATGTCTCCATGGGGTAGGAATGAAGATGGGAATGGAGTTGGAGAGGGCTAAGGAAGGCTTCACCTCCTTACTGGTATGGTTATCCATGGCAGCCTTGCCCCAGGAGCCCATGAGGAAAGGACTGGGCAGCTGGAGCTGGTGGTGGCCCTTGCCTGCACTGGGTGGACATCCTGCCCTCCTTGCAGGAGCTCCAGGTGCCACTCCCAGCCAGCACAGGGCTGTGGCTGGGGCAGGACACCAGGAGCTGTGTCTGGCCTGAGCCCACGCGTGCTCCACTTTACCCAAAACCATTTCAGAGTCCACAGCCAAAACCCACCTTGAGCTGTCCTGTGTTCCCCCCTGGGCCACCATCTTCCCTTGGAGCATCCTTGAGCGTGGTTCCTGCCCTCGCTGACCCCGTAGGGCCCCTCATCCCACCCAGTTCCTTCATCCTGCAGCCTGGGCTGGTCTCAGAGCCAGGCCTTGGCCACCCTCCCCTCAGGTTGTCCCTCCACAGCCACAGCCCTGCTCCCGGGATGCAGGGACACCCCAGGGTGGTCCCCATGGAAAGGACATTCCTGGTGGCCAATCCCAGTCCCCTGGACCCCTCCATCCTGACCTCGTGGCGCAAGGGCAGCGCATCTGACTCCAGATCAGAAGGTTGTGTGTTCAAATCACACCGGGGTCAGTCTGGGGCACTGCTGGCACCCCTCTGCTTTTCTGGGGGGCTGTTCTGTGGAAGGGTGTCTTAGGCTGGGGGTGTGTATTCTATTTCCATCTGTTGGGGGTGTGGCAGTTATCCTCTGTTAATTGGGCAGCTTTTCTTTATCTCTTCCACAACCAATCCTCCCTCCAGGAGATCTCTTCTGTTCATGGGCCAGTGAGTGTCACTGCACAGCTGATAAAATTCCATCATCCCACTGGGAGATGCTCCACCCAGGGGGACAAGCCAAGCATTCCTACCTGGATAGAATCTGAGCTTTGGAACACCACAGCAGCCTTTTGCACTGGATTCCCAGAGAAGCAGCTTTCTTCTCCACTGGATTCCCAGAAGACCTGGCTCATCTACAGCAGCCCTGGAGCTTCAGAGGAAAACTCCAGCCTTGTACAGGATCCCTGCTCCAACACAACCACAGCTGGCACTGCAGGAGGGCTGA